TTGCATTTATAGACAGCCGCTAAGAGGCGTGTCCCGCGTGAACTACCGGAAATCACAAATGCCGCGGTACCACGGGGTTCGAGTATATAGCATATAGCATATGTTTGTTGTATAAAACTTCACTCTGCAATATACCAGGTATATGACGGCGGTAAATAATCGAGTCTGAAACCTCCAACCTCCCATATTCATAAAAAAACTTGGTCAGGCTCGCTGACTTGGTTGATGCATATCGTCGCATATCATGCATATTATTGCGTGGATCGATGCTCATGATAAAATCACTGGATTGTCTGGTCCAGACTCTATTATTTACAGACGGTTGTCATATACCTGGAATATTGCTGAGTGCGGCGTTAAACAACAAACCAACCATCGTAAAAAAACCTATGTTTAACTGCGTATATTGGTAGTGGAAGACGGGCGAAACCTATTTATACTAATTCCAAGTTTTATTTCAGTTTATCTAATGATGCAAGGTCTGAGAATAGCGGGATAAGCGAAACATCTTTTACAAACACAGAATGGAGTGTAATTGATTTCATCAATTAATTCATTGACAGTGACCAATCTCTGTTACGTATTTTCCATTTACGAATGATCCGTGGTAGAATAGGTCTTCAGCAACCCGTGCTTGCCGTAAAAGGCGACTAAGCTTGTTGTAAGAGCTAGGCGACTAACGGGATCGGGTGGTCAGGCTCGCTGACTTGGTTGATGCAGGTCATCGATTCCAATTGCGTGGATCGATGTTTATGATGTAAATCACTGGATTGTCTGGTCCAGACTCGATTATTTACAGACCGCCGTCATATAGCTGGAATATTGCTGAGTGCGACACAACAAACAAACAATATTAATCACAAAGTGACTTACCAACCACACAAAGCAATATTTTCTTTAAGAAGTGAGTGCGGCGTTAAGCAACAAACAAACATGATTAGAGGCTGTATTTGAACCAAATACACAACCAGGACGCATGCCTCTGCAGACATCAAAGAAAGTAGGTATCTCTGTTGATGGAAATTGGCAAAATTGGCTACCACACTGTCATCACGTCAACTGTAGGGAACGATGCTTCAGGCCAAGGAAAAACATTTTTAGTGTGTATACAGACACGGAACTTATCCAGCGGTTTCGTCTTGACAGTGCAGGTATATTATTTGTCACAAATTTAATCAGGGATAGGCTTACCTCCCCTACACAAAGAAACAATGCTATCACCCCGGAGATGAAAATAGCTGTCATGCTGCGCTATCTTGCAACTGGGAAAATGCAACTGTGTAACGCCGATGATCTTGGAATAAGTCAGCCATCCATAAGCCGTATTGTCAGTGAAACAATTGATGCATTGTCAACACCGGCTATTGTCCGACAATTTGTCAAATTACCTGTACTACGAACAGACATCCAACGTAATCAAGCAGCGTTCATGGCAATTGCTGGCTTTCCTGGCGTATTTGGTGTAATTGACGGCACCCATGTCCGCATAATTGCCCCGAGTGTCGATGAGTCGGAGTACGTTTGTAGGAAACATTTCCACAGCATTAATGTGCAGATAGTATTTGATGCTCACTACAACATACTTGACATCGTTGCCAAGTGGCCATGCAGGATCTACGCACGATGCAAGAATTTTAAATGAGAGCGGTGTCCGAAGAGCATTCGAACAACATTTCATCCCTCAAGGCTGCCATTTGCTCTGAGACAGCAGCTATCCGTGTCGAAGATGGCTGTTGACACCTTACCTTAGACCCCAACCCGGTCCACAAACTAGATACAACAGGTACGTGAAGTTGTTAATCCCACCGATGAATTACTGTCTTTGCTTATAACAATAATATCAAAAGATTCCACGTTATAATAATTCGACGTTATAATAATTCGTTGCATTTAGTCGTTTACAAATCTGTCACTCGTGCACTTGTATTAGAGTGACTTCCCCTTGATATCAATACGGGAATTATTGTTTGGAAAAGAATGAAATGTTAAGATTGTGTTTTTGGACGAATAATTAAAAAAATTATATGCATGCTGACATGCAAAGTATACTAACAGAAAATGGAAATATTGAATATATCATTTTTGTATTGTGGAAAAATCTGTAAAAAGTATTAATAATTATTGTAAAAAGTAACACTCGTTTAGATCTAGATCTTGACATATTTATTATTTATGAAATATTTAGAAAATAATGAAAACATATTTAAAAATATTGTTACTATTATTTATTTTAGTCAAGCTAATGTAGGAATTTTGTAAATGAAATATTTACAACAGAATGAAAAAACCCATTAAAATACTTACAATTATTTAAAAATGTAAATGTAATGTAGTTATAGTAATTTATTATTGAATGAAAAACCATAGATTCTATGTATGTTTGTTAAGACCAATACATAATCTGAATCTAAAATGATGTAATTTGTGTTTCTAGAGCTCACAAACACACCAGGCCCCGAGGTTATAAAACTTCCCTGAGTACGATTTCATGCTCAAATCCGGTTTCGTGCTCAACTCAAAACTCAAACTCAATAAAGGGAGGTTATAAATAATCTGAGTACGTTTTCGTGCTCAACTTGAGCATGAAATACTTACGATCTCAAGTACGCTTTGGACCGTGCTCAACGCTGAGTTCGATAACAACAATGGCAGCTCACCTGCGACAGACTCGACAAGCGAGGCGGAAAACCCGTGTTCCGAGAGTGTTTCGAGATCGTTACAGTTGCTGGTATGCCTTTGCTTTTTGGCGACAGGCGCTATGCATCTGCTGGTTGGGGACAGCCTAGACATTTCCCGATCTACAGCCGGCAGATGCATACGCGCAGTTTCGTTGCAAATCTCTAAACTGTCAGGAAGGTTCATTAAATTCCCAGTTGGAGGAGACGCTGTATGAGCGAAGGAGTCATTCGGCAACATTGCAGGTACCTACATGGGATTTTCCCAATGTAAACATAATAAATGATTTCACTGGTGTGATTCGTGTCAGTGCCATTTTGATTGGTGAGTAAAAAGAATATGGATCAGAGGTCGAGGTCATGTATATAAATCAAATCAAATTATAATCAAGCGATAGATTTTAGGATGGGGTGTAAATGAAAACTATTAAACACTGCCCAGTACAGTATGCTATCTATTGTGACACCATGACACGTTTTACTTACAGGATTCCCTAACGTAGTAGGGTGTATTAATGGAACGTTTATCAGGATACAGCGGCCTACCGCTAACGAGGGAGACTTCGTGAACCGGAAAGGTTACCATTCCCTGAATGTACAGGTAAATAGGCATAATTTTACTCCTTAAGTATTCGTTATAATGTATGTGTTGGTTTAGGGGTGGGGATATGAGTGACATTTGTAAGTCTTACGTATGTATTGTAAGTTTGAGTTTAAATTTCTGATTTGCTATCCCACAGATGTGCTGTGATGCAAATTTTTACATCACAAGTTGCAACGCCAGCTGGCCGGGATCGTTACATGACAGCCGCATTTTCCGGACGTCAGCACTGTGCAGGCAATTTGAAAATGGTAAGACACGTTTTTAGAACAATTTGGTGAGAGTATTCTGCAAGTGAACAAGCATATATTTTATCCTGTTACAAATAATATATAATCATTTCTGTTATTGTAATTATTAGTTAAGATGTCAAGAAGTAGCAAGTTAATCAGTTAGTAAATTTAAATCAATATACAGATTTTTTTGTATGACGTCTCAATGAATTGAAGTGACATACAAAGGGCAATTGCTTTGGAACCGTGGATATGACACTGCATAAAATCTCAGAATCTCCATACCCATTTTAATTAATAAATCAGATTGGATTCATATCCTCATTTTCAATTATTTTTTTCTCACAAGTTATTTTTTAACTAAACAGTTCCATTAATTAGGATGAATGTATTTGTTCCTGGAGAAAGGTTTATTTCATTCATCATGTTCAAGATAAATGTTGAAATATTGTAATTCTTGATGAGACAAATTTTATTCATTCATTATATGTTCTTTTTACCAGTATTCAAATCATAAAACAATCTGTTATTCTTTCAATAATAAATAACCTTATTTTATTATGTTTAAGGACAGTACAAAGGTTTTCTGCTGGGGGACTCTGGCTACCCATGTCGTTTGTTCCTGCTGACGCCTCTACTGAACTCCACCAACCGTGCAAAGGAACGTTACAATGGGTCTTTGTGCAGGACAAGAGTGCTCATTGAACAGACCTTTGGTCTCCTGAAACGGCGGTTTCAGTGCCTGCACAATAATCTATCTGAATTTGTGATTTCAAATGTATATCATCTTAATTAATGATTGTGTGAGTGGAATTGCTCAGTAAGTCAGATATGTCATGACAGTTAGACTTGAATACAGAATCAATTTTGTCATTCGATGATTTATTCAGATACAAGCAGTGCACAAAATGGATCAATATTTGATTTGTATAGTCTGGCCATTATTTGTTGTTTAACTCCTCACTCAGCAATATTATTCCAGCTATATGAAGGAGGACTGTAAAGTAATTGTGTCTGGACCAGACAATCCAGTGACTTTTAACGATTCAAAGTATGGCATTTATGATATATGTATCCATTCTCTGTCAACTGAAGTTCGTTTCAAGGAATCAATAGCGGTAATCTGACCGTGGTTGCTGTTAATAACGGTGAGTTGTGCGATCTTCCGATCGCTTCACACACGATTTCGCCGAAATTAATTAAAACAATATTAAAAGGAATTTTGAATAAAATTAATGAAATAAGTTACAAACATAAGCAGGTATACAAAGAACACTTTTTATAGCCATACAGTGTAATTACAAGAATAATTTGCGAACTTCAGTATGGATTTGTTAACATGGTATTTCCGGTGTTACGTGCTCATGGTAATGTCTTTCCATGGGGGAAAAAACATCAAAACTCATTAATACGTGTATAATGCGCACCCCCTTCTACACAGCTGTGTTTTTTTGGGAAAAAAGTGCTCACTATACTCAAGGAAATACATACTCACATGTATATTTCGAGAGCGTTTCAAATCGTTACAAGCTGTGAGATGAATCGTCACAGTGTGCCTTGTAGCATGGTTGGGACGTTTCTCCTTTTATATGTTACCTGTACAATAACTCCCGACAAACCATCTAATGGTGGAGCTACACATATATTTTGCCAAGGGACGCGTCTGCACATCTCGCAGTGATAGGCTGTCATGTGACCGAACGTTACTTAGCAGCCAAGCCACTGCTGACAGACCCGGGGATTGATTCCGTACCCGGCTACCGACTGAGCCACGAAGGCGTCAATATAAAACATTCATCTTTGCATAAACTACAGCAATCTATTTAATTTTTTTCCAATTTTAAATAAATACTCAGGAGTTGAAAAAGATATACTGAAGTTTTCTTATCTATCTTTAGAAAATGTTTGAATCATGTTGAAGCATTTCTGAAGATATTTGTGTGTTACCGTAGTTTTAGTCTATATTCCCAAATCCTGTGAAGGGTATCTAGGGGAGTTGCTATATGGTCACACAGTAATGTGCATTTATATGTGCAGTCTTATGACTTCAACATGGCAGCAAGTAACATTGTCTTCCTTATTCCGTTTTATTGCATTATAGAGAAGATATGTTCCACTTATGTTAAACTCAGTCTGTAAAACATCAAATTGCTTTAAACCAGCTTCTGTAAATATGCCAAGCTTCTATTTAAACCCATTTGATTGCCATTTAGATAATAAATGCATATCTTTATGTGATACGAAATTTTGAACTGGAACAGGAACCCTTCTACATTTTGAACATCATTTGTTCTCAAGTTACTATAACTAAGCAGCACATATTTCCAAAAGATATTTCTTATTTCTTTGCATATATTGTGAAGGGGCGTTATACGTCGATTTTAAAATAGGGTTATATAGATTGTTATGGCAGTTATCGCCATACGCCTTCTGACAAGCATAGACGTTATAACAATTCTATTATCATGTAATAAGCGAAAGTTTCAGAATCAACCCTTTCACTGCAGTTCACCCTTTGAATAATCATCCTTCTTTCTATTCGCTGTCCAGCCCATATAAACATGTACAGGTAAGAAACAGCGGTGACCATACATACTTGGAATGTAAAGCAGCGAGATGTGACAGCAAACAGCATATGCCGGCACACTCCATTGATTGCGGTACAATCAATATAACCTAGACAACCTGAAACTTCTTTGTTAAATAAACAATCGATCCCGCCTAGTTTACTTGGAATGTTACTGCAGTCACTGCAGTCTGTTTTCCAGGAAAAGCAGCGAGGCATGTTGTGCCCTCAAACCTACAATGGTCGTCTACACTATTCATGAGTGGGCGTGGCTTGTATATGCACGTGACACTTATTTCGTACGCAATGCTTCTCACCTGAACCTCGGAAGTGCATCGTACTTCTGCCGTGTTGTGACAGCACACAGCCACAGGAACTCGTTATTGTTCAGTAAATAAAAATATATACCCCCTATATGTAAGTAGAGAAAAGGAGCGTCACTCGCCATCTTGCCGGTTCGTTTACATTCGATATCCAAGGCGATTTTTTTATTATACGCCCATTGACAAGCGCATTTCTGGCCGTAGATTGATCGATAACACATTTCTACACATGTACAAGTCATCGACATTCGATAAATGTCCCTTACTAACCGAAATATCGACAGTTTATTTCGCTAGCTTGGAAAATGTTACCAACCCCGAGCGGAAGTAGATGTCAAACGCGGGCAGAATCGAGCGAGCCACCTGATTGGCTGAAAATACGCAGTGCTCTGATTAAAGAAATTAGCGCGAAATTTGAAGACAGTTATCTGGAGTGACAGCAGCATCTAAAAAATGACATCAGATAATTTCTTCAAATGGTAAATATTTATTAGGAGTGTTTTTCATTTTATAATATACTTGTCATCTAAAGCTAATCTATTATTAGCTGGTGAATTTTGTACAATACACATGGCGAGTGACGCTCCTTTTCTCTACTTACATAAAGGGGGTTTATATATTTTTATTTACTGACCAATGAGTTCCTGTGCTATCATATCAGAGCCTTCGTGAGGTGGTGACATGTTTAATAACAGAGTAAATTTTCGGTTAACTACATGCAGGTGTTATATAGATCAGTAGCAGACCCACAGCCTAATCCCAGGGTGAACTAATTATTACCTTCTACAATTCCCATTGTTTGTGTCTTTATTTGGGTATACATACTGACAGTATGGTAGAATGGACAGAATGTCACACTATGAAGTTATTACCATGTAGCAGGGCGTGGAGTCATCCCACAGATGACATCCTTACCTTGTAGGCAAAGTGCACTGTAGGCGATAGTAGATGCCACCACCTGTTCTGTTCTAATGATTACTGAACAAACTAATTATACCATTCTTAACAAAAATTCCATATCAAGATGTCATCATGACACAATAGTTCAGCTATTGTCTAATTTTAAATATTGTTGTGTATGAAGTAGTTACAAGAAACAATTAACTTATCACTTTTTTCAGACTAAGAAATAAAAGCCTGGATCCACCATGCACTTTGCATTACTAGTTTTAGTTACATTGCATGTCAGTTCTAATAATATTGAACTTACAAACCGGTGGGAATTGAAGTAAATGATGTACTGACAGTAATCATTGCAAGGCCTTATAAAATGGAAAGGAGCATATTTTATCCTGGACCTACAAATCATATCTTACAATAATGGCCAAAACATTAGACATAAAATGTAAGTAGAACTTGTAAACATAAGTACCTAATCAAATTAACTTTGAGCTAAATATAGAGTAAAGAAGTTACATATACATATCATTGTATGAATTGATAGTGTTGGTACTTACACTTGCCATTGGTTGGGATGTACTGGACTGTGTCCGTTTCCTCAAATCATCTGACATTCTGACAAGTATTCAGGAAACTCATCTGCAAACAAATGATACTACATGAAACTAGTATGAAACTAGATTGCCTAAATTGTTGACAATTGTTGAATACAGGGTATGTGTGCTTTGTGTTTCTTGCCCAGACCCAGGGAGAACACTCTAATGTGATCCCCATTTATCAGTGCCTGGGGTCCCCAGCCTTCCATTGTCTGGCAGTACCTCTCTTCAGTGTGGAAATATCGGTTATATCCCATTATAGGTGTAATGGATCAGTCCTAATTAGATTATAAAGAACTGAGTAGGGATAGGGGACTCACAGTTTAGGGAGTATATATGTTACAATTTCATTTAATTAACCTAAATTACCTTACTCTCAGTGCAGGCTCAATAGGCATGAGATTAACTATGTAAACTATGGAGTAGCTTAATTGTCTTACTGTATGATCAGTTGAAGGAGTTGAGTTTAGATTATCTACTTATCAAACAAATAAATATAATCTTAGGTTACGTATCATTATCAGTATCGATATGGCTGGTTTTAGGAAAGTAGAGTACATCACCTCTCGGCTAGGAAGTAAGCAGTTGATATCAGATGGATATATTTACAACAGAAACTGCGAGAGGCAAACCTGCATACATTGGAGATGTGTCGTCAAGACGGGCAATGAGAAATGTACGACTGTCGCTGATAAATAAACTGTAGCAGTTATTAAATGTAAAGTGTACATTACCAAAAACTGTCACAAAGTGTTGTTACAAACTGTATAAAATTTATCAAATGTAAAGTGTCATTAAATGTTAAATATACAAGTACTATTAAAGTATCTATTTAAAGCTGCTTTGCTTTGTTTTCCACGGGCGGTCGGGTAGCCTAGTGGTTAAAGCGTTCGCTCGTCACGCCAAAGACCCGGGTTCGATTCCCGACATGGGTACAATGTGTAAAGCCCATTTCTGGTGTCCCCCGCCATGATATTGCTGGAATATTGCGAAAAACGGCGTAAAATCATACTCACTCACTCACTCACTTTGTTTGTCAGATCTTATCTGGACTATTCCATTTTAAAGTCTGAGGTAACAAGCATAAGGATTAGTGTGCACTCAACCGTTTAAAGTGTTGTTATAAGATGTCTAACTATTGGGATGTCTAACTAATGGGAGGACACCAGAAATATCAGTATGAAGAATACAAGTCTTATGAATATTGGTTTTTACACAACTGTTCATTTATAAAAAGAAAACACTCTGTTCAGTAAACTTAATACAATCTTGATGTATCAAGATAAGTTATATCAAACTAGAAATGATACAGTTATTTATTTTATCCCAGCTATCCATTATTATATAATTATGTGACTACATTTTGACTGTTAGTGTAATACTGACTCTTATGACATAATGACATGCATAAAATGTATAAACTGTATGGGCTTCACACATTGTACCCATGTCGGGAATCGAACCCGGGTCTTCAGCGCGACGAGCGAACGCTTTAACCACTAGGCTACCGGACCGCCCCAAGTAAGGATAAGAATTTTTGGATGAACAACTTCTTTTTTACAATTAAGAGCGATGTATCAGTGTAGGTTCTAACACCGTTATCAATCAAGTGATATCACTTGCTGGATACAACAACAAAAAGTAAAGAACCCCTTCATCCACAGATCATACCGAAAAGAAATTTGAGCTAGTATTTGAACAGTTTCATTTTCATTACTAATTTTTTTCAATAAAAGACAATTATTTTTCTACATAATGTGACCCCCTAAGTAGTTCTACAAATCCTTCAAAGAGAAACAATTTGAAATATTGGAAAATATGATACTTTCATATTTTTTTAACAAATGAAGAATGCAGGTCCAAATTGAGAAACAGAATTTTATTTCTATCCCATGAACATGGTGCTGCAAATACTCAGGTTTGGAGGTCCTTTCTTTAAGACTTTCAAAATATGTATTATTACCAAAACAAGACCCCCTACATGTTGTCATTAATACACCCCTCCCCCACCCCATCCTTTATTTGCTGTGTAATTTCTTCATGATCACCCCCCTATAAATATATAAATTACCAATCCTTATGATATTCTACAATATTCTGCAATTGCGTGCAAGATATAAAGTCGTGTTTTTAATTACATTTTTAAATCTAAATATATTTGAACCAGGTCTGTCAGGATTTGACAAAATAGGTAAATAGTGAAAAGGAAGTAACACTTTCATGTGTCATATACACAAATGCATTTATAATGGCATTTATTTATTTTTCAAATTTAAAGTTTATTTCTATTTCTACATTTACCCTGTAGTTTTGAATATAAGAATTTAGAGAAACCACACGAAATAAGGCATAATATATTCATGTGAAGATCAAAAGATACTTTCCACATTAATTAACATGAAAAAGTTATTTCATAATTTCTAGTTCTGAGTGAGTAGTTAGTATGTGAGGTGAGGTGAAATTGGGTTTAACGTCACGTCCATGATTATTGCACTTATATAGCGACGTGCATGCACGTGTGTGTGTGTGTGGCTGCTTGTACTAGTCTGGACTGATGCCGATTTATAGTGCTAGCTCACTGAGATACCATGCCGCAGTTTAACATGAATACCCCACTCAGACACAGTATACTGACTCCGAGCCGACCAGTCCTTGTTTTAGCCCCATAATGCCGAGCGCCAGACAGGGTAACAACAAGTACCATCTTTTAACGTCTATTGGTATGACGCGGCCGGGGATCAAACCCCGGACCTTCCGCTCTCCGGGCGGACGCTCTACCACTAGACCACGGAGGCGGTCAGTTAGTATGTAATGTTATACTTAATGTTAAGCCTCACTATTAAGTTTTCTCTTAGGAAGTCATTCTTGGTGCAGAAACTTAGCATACTACTACACGATGTGTTTCACCCAATACTGACATAACATTATAGCACAGGAAACAGGTATTCCAGGTTGGGTATCAAGCAAGCTATGGTGGTCATGTGACTTTATTTCTGTAACTTTCTTTAATGTAACATTTCTTCCTACAATCAGGGTAAGATCTAATAATACCTCCACTGAGTGAGTGAGTGAGTATGGTTTTACGCCGCTTTTAGCAATATTCCAGCAACATCACGGCGGGGGACACCAGAAATGGGCTTCACACATTGTACCCATGTCGGGAATCGAACCCGGGTCTTCAGCGCGACGAGCGAACGCTTTAACCACTAGGCTACCGGACCGCCCCAAGTAAGGATAAGAATTTTTGGATGAACAACTTCTTTATTACAATTAAGAGCGATGTTTCAGTGTAGGTTCTAACACCGTTATCAATCAAGTGATATCACTTGCTGGATACAACAACAAAAAGTAAAGAACCCCTTCATCCACAGATCATACCGAAAAGAAATTTGAGCTAGTATTTGAACAGTTTCATTTTCAATACTAATTTTTTTCAATAAAAGACAATTATTTCTCTACATAATGTGACCCCCTAAATAGTTCTACAAATCCTTCAAAGAGAAACAATTTGAAATATTGGAAAATATGATACTTTCATATTTTTTTAACAAATGAAGAATGCAGGTCCAAACTGAGAAACAGAATTTTATTTCTATCCCATGAACATGGTGCTGCAAATACTCAGGTTTGGAGGTCCTTTCTTTAAGACTTTCAAAATATGTATTATTACCAAAACAAGACCCCCTACATGTTGTCATTAATACACCCCTCCCCCACCCCATCCTTTATTTGCTGTGTAATTTCTTCATGATCACCCCCCTATAAATATATAAATTACCAATCCTTATGATATTCTACAATATTCTGCAATTGCGTGCAAGATATAAAGTCGTGTTTTTAATTACATTTTTAAATCTAAATATATTTGAACCAGGTCTGTCAGGATTTGACAAAATAGGTAAATAGTGAAAAGGAAGTAACACTTTCATGTGTCATATACACAAATGCATTTATAATGGCATTTATTTATTTTTCAAATTTAAAGTTTATTTCTATTTCTACATTTACCCTGTAGTTTTGAATATAAGAATTTAGAGAAACCACACGAAATAAGGCATAATATATTCATGTGAAGATCAAAAGATACTTTCCACATTAATTAACATGAAAAAGTTATTTCATAATTTCTAGTTCTGAGTGAGTAGTTAGTATGTGAGGTGAGGTGAAATTGGGTTTAACGTCACGTCCATGATTATTGCACTTATATAGCGACTGCATGCACGTGTGTGTGTGTGTGTGGCTGCTTGTACTAGTTTGGACTGATGCCGATTTATAGTGCTAGCTCACTGAGATACCATGCCGCAGTTTAACATGAATACCCCACTCAGACACAGTATACTGACTCCGAGCCGACCAGTCCTTGTTTTAGCCCCTTAATGCCGAGCGCCAGACAGGGTAACAACAAGTACCATCTTTTAACGTCTTTTGGTATGACACGGCCGGGGATCAAACCCCGGACCTTCCGCTCTCCGGGCCGACGCTCTACCACTAGACCACGGAGGCGGTCAGTTAGTATGTAATGTTATACTTAATGTTAACTGCCTCACTATTAAGTTTTCTCTTAGGAAGTCAATCTTGGTGCAGAAACTTAGCATACTACTACACAATGTGTTTCACCCAATACTGACAGAACATTATAGCACAGGAAACAGGTATTCCAGGTTGGGTATCAAGCAAGCTATGGTGGTCATGTGACTTTATTTCTGTAACTTTCTTTAATGTAACATTTCTTCCTACAATCAGGGTAAGATCTAATAATACCTCCACTGAGTGAGTGAGTGAGTATGGTTTTACGCCGCTTTTAGCAATATTCCAGCAACATCACGGCAGGGGCCACCAGAAATGGGCTTCACACATTGTACCCATTTCGGGAATCGAACCCCGGGTCTTCAGCGTGACGAGCTAACGCTTTAACCACTAGGCTACCCGACCGCCCCAATACCTCCACTGACAAATACAGGTAGTGATAGGGTGGGGGTGTACATGAAGTACGAAATCAGACTACCAGTTGTTGGACTTTCATTTTGTAAAAGACTCAGTGGATTAGATCGCTGACTCTGTGCTTGCGATAAGGTGGCTCACTCTGGGTGTAATACTCTGCAATATTTTTCACCAGACTACATGCATAAAAGATGTACATGCACAATTGATAAAAAATCAATCTGTCGGAGAAATTGGGACAACGAAACATCATACACAAGAGAAATGAACCCCCCTCTGTCTAAACCAGTGGATGGATTGTAAAAGAGTAGGGGATCCATTCTAAAATGTGGTTGATGTCAGCATCTGCTACACTGCTAACTTTGATATTAATAGAGTCAAGGTTCAACCAAGCAGATAAAACAAATGGAGCATGTCTTTAAGAAATAAAGGTTGCTCTATCCTCATATGTAGTTTAATAAAGTAAAGTTTAACCTGAACCATTATAAGGCACAAGGACACTTGCGTTTAATATCCATTCAGTCTGCAGTAAATCCATTATCAAACACAGTAATAACTAACATTACACTTGTAGCTGCCCTTAAACCTGCTGAAGGTCTTAAGTCTACACAAGTCCTTTAAAAAAAGACAGAGAGAAAAAGAAGGTGGATTTGATTTTTGACCAGTTCCCTAGGGTGCCTTGGGCTGTTTGAAGCTCACCTGGCAAGCTGGCAGAACCTCTGAGGTGCACACTCTGTGGTTGAAAGGGGTATAGGACAACTGAAAAGAAGGTTTCATGTCCTACACAACGAGGTCAGACTCAACCCAGTGAAGGTTTGCAAGGTGGTAATTGTGTGTGCCATCTTACACAATATATGCAAACAGAGGAACATCCTTTTGCCAGGTGGTGCTGGTGATGATGACAGAAACAGTGATGATGATGATGATGATGATGATGATAATAACAATCCTCCCAACCACTTGCCACAGGCTATGGGAGATGGTCGTTTGTTCAGGGAGAACTTCGCTAACATTCACTTTCAAAGTATGTGTGCATAACATATTTAGTTTTGTTATGTAACTAATATAATACACATATATGAGTCATTCTTATTATTCATTACCAATTATCACCTTATCGCCATTTGCTATTTGTCAGCTTATGAACTTGATATGAACATGTCAAAATTGTTAATGCCAAATTATGCAAGCTTAATCATTCATCTTTTTGTTTTTGGAACATTTAAAACAAACTTGATCTATGGGAAAACAATTCTGTCATTGCTGTTTCATACTTTTAAACCAAATTATAGAAAAAAAAAGAAAACATATCTGATCTTCCTCCCATCACAACAATGTTTTACATACATTTAAAAAAAATGGTAAACATAATTTTGTTACTTTTTTGCCACATGAAAAAAAGTATCTTTGTAAATAAAAATTGGCATTTTTGTAATCTATTGTACAACAAGCAGACAGAATGGATGTAACCATTGCAGTATCTCTAAGGAGACTGACTTACGACTTGTAAATGTGTGACAAGAATAAAACGTTTAATAATAATGAACCATTTTCTGATATTTGATAATAGTTAAATATTTCTGATATATAAGTGTTTGGTACAAAGTTCTCATGAAAAAAGTATTGTTTTATGTCCTGTTAAAAAGTTTATTCTCAATTCACAGTTCAAGAACACAAATCTCATCAAGGTCTCCTTGTCTTCTGCAGGTTAAGAGTTGGAGGCATGTTATAGCAGAGTTCATGAACATCGCAAGTTTCTCAGGCTACAGATACTTTATGTGCGACCTCAACTCTATATGTCACTCTACAACAGGTATGATGTTTCCCTTGTGAACACCGAGGAATAGATGAAATTGCCCTAAACAATCATTATGACGAAATAGCATTGATCAAAACAGTATTTTACCTACCATATTACCACAGTTGGGAGCTTTGACGAATACTCACATATCTTTAGCCAAGCCTAAAATGGGCACGGTCCTCAACATCCCCTTTAATTTTTTATGGTTAGAGTAATTTCCCTTTTTCTCGGTTTATACTAAAATCATACAGGACATTCCTTGAAATAAGATCCAAAATCATTTGTTTGTGAGGTTTAAGTAAAATAAAAACAACAACTGGAATGATGATGATATTTGTGTTATTTAACAAGAAAATATTACCAAGTAAATGTACAAGATGATAGTTGCATTTGAGTGGAAAACAAAAATTTTGCATTGTATTTGCTTTGACATGTGTCATATTTATATTTGTAAAGAAATTCACAAAATAATCACACAACACAGATTGTTCTCCTACAAGTATCAGCTTTATCTTCAGAAAAATCTTCAGAAAATTCTCCTGAAGATAAAGCTGAAACATGTTGGAGAACAATCCATGTCATATGATTATTGTGTGCATTCTTTACATATGTGCTACTGTACACTAGTGAGTCTCACCACTTTGTATGTAGTATCTGGAAAATTATTCATGACAAAAGACAACATACATGTACTACATTCAAACTTATCTTTGCCAATTATTATGTTCAATTTCAGAGTAGTATGAGATGCTTTATTAATAAATTGCAACTCAATAAAATCACTATTTACAAACATTCCTTTGATATATATATATAGCCATCTTACCCATATTATAATGCAACAGGTTTGATTTAGGTTAACTGGTACAATCATTGAAAACTATTTTAACTCAATATATTTACATGAAAGATCTCAAAACAATCAATTGTTAATGTTAATACTGTTGTTGAGATTGTTGTTGTCAATCTTTTACTCAAAATTCCTGTTATTACTTCAATGAAAGCAATATCAGACATTCTTCACATTCTTTGGATGGGTGATAATGTACATGATGGCAAATAGCCCATATGATAACATTCTAAAACTTGTAAGCAACCAAACATGAACAATCATTTTTGTGTAGAACTCTTCAAAGCATACAAAAGATCACAGACACATAAGCATAAGAATATACTCATGTTGAAATGTTCCATAGCCCAAAGAAATAAAGCCAGAAATAGGCTCTTTAACTTTTTTTGAAGAAATTAATGAACCAAATGTGAGACAGTTTTCTTATGAAATAACATCCAAATTACTTTCTAACCTCTAATTATAGACTTTTTGTGAAATAACTGAAATTACAGAACATTGCTAAACAAAATTTGATTAAGTGAATTTCAGTGAATTAATCATTTAAATTCCTGTAAAGGCAACTGATTTCTTGAATTAATTTAGCATAGAATGTGAAATAACTATTCAATTATAAAACTGATTTTTTCTCATCATCTCTAATTTTAGGGTTAGCATTTCTTTCTGAAGTTGCAGTACATCAATTTCTAATAATGTCTTTTTTCTTAGAAGTTGTTTGTCATCTAAGTCTTCTTTTCTTGAGCAGGGGACAGCTGAGGCTGAAGTACAGGTTGCTTGAGGTTGGGCTTGTACTCCATGTGGCAAGGCGCCACAAACTTCAGATTCCAAGCCAAGGATGGCTGCTTCCTGACAACTGAAATGTTTGAGCCATAAACCAGAACATAAATATCATAAGTTTTTTATCACTAAAGAAAAAAATGTTTACCTGTTTGACATATCCATGACCTGGAATAGGGTTGAATCGAAGCTCCCTTCAATTCCACTGATGCTCACATTTGTGTGTCCAAGCATATCATATACTGCCTCAGACACAGCACTTAACTTGCTCGGACCAGGTCCCCCTCCTGCAATATTTCAAGATTATTAATGTTGATGTACTTCTTGATACAATAAATTAATGTGATGCAATAGATAAAGATAAAGACATAACTCAATTTGTCTTAATAATATTGTATGAGTCGGTGAACATGTCAAATGTTATCCATAAATTGTGTCTACTTTGGAATATGTATGATATTTACTGCCTATACAGATATTAAAAAAGGATATTTCATACTGCATAATGCATAAATTAATCATATACTAATCACATGCAAAGTAGTTCAACTTTTTGGTAATGATTCTCAGTATGAATGCTACATCTGTTTTCTTTAGGTAATTTTTAACTATTCCAGTTTGGTCTATTCTAATATCATGTTTGAGCTTCATAAGAAAATTAATATAATAATTTCTACATGCCTCTATTTTTTCCCTTATGGTAAACTGAAATAAATAAACATTTTCTTTCCAAAGAATGTTACTTTGTCTATTTTTTACATGTATATTTGTATCTTCCATAAAGAAATAACATGCAGATAGTATGGTGTAATGAGAACATTTTAACAGGTCTAACTGTCAAGTGGAAAATATTGTTTATTTAAGTTATTTTAGTTCACATCCCCTAAAGAATCCATATTTGCCTTCACTTTTTTTTATGAAGACATTAATCTTCAATGAAGAACATGATTGAACAGTGTGCATTGTTTTTAAGCTGCTACCTATCTAAATATGAATTTTAATGAAGAAAATTAAATAATACGAAATAATTTAGGCCCGAAGAGTAGTATACATTGTTTATAAACTGCTTATCGGATCATGGATTTTCGGACATGATACTTTTTCAGACGGCGTAACAGAAACATTGTAAATACTGTTTTTAAGATGTTTTAGTTGTCTCCATTTTAAATTACTTACCGGTGCCACTGAGCTGTCTCTTGAAAGCAGGTATTTCCTGCCTTGACTTCGACTGGATATTATACCATCTCTTTTCGCAGTCCTCTGTCGACCTGATCACATTAGGAAATGCAGCATTGATGTTTGCTGCCACCTCGACCCATGCCTCCTTCTTCATCCGCGACGTAACTCCTGGCCCAAACTTGCCCTTGATGATAGCCTTCCACTCATCCACAAGTATGACCAGGAGCAAGGTCTGGTCAGATGACCAATTCGGTTTGCGCTTCACTGCAATCATTTGTGATGAACCCATCGCGCGAAGTGTTGACAGATGCACGTCTGCGTGTTTACATCACGTGACAGTCACGCGATACAAAATCATGCCTCTAAAACTGAAGAGTGCCCGGAATTCTAAATATAGCACAGGGATTTCCCTGGTTACGACTCGCAGAGTTTCACTTCACTCTTAGCTAAAAGTTACGCTCAGAGTCATTATGGTTACACTCCTAAGTGTAACACTTAGCTAAGAATTTTCTTAGCGAGTTAATAATGTTCTTAAGAAAATTCTAAGAATGTTTATGTATACCGCCCCAGGAAGACCTTCAGTTGCCACCAATTAGGAGAAAGTTTGCTCCAGCCCAGCCAACACAGTGGGAATTAGGGCTGCAACGATACACCTAAGTCACGATACGATACGTATCTCGATACTTACATCACGATTCGATACGTATCTCGATACGCTACGATACATATTGTGACAAGAGAAGACAAGAGATAAATGAATATAACTTAGTTTATTAAAATGAAAAATTAAATGAAAGTGAATGAATGTTCATGAGTAATAAAATATGTACTGTTATGAGTAATTTAACTTAATAAATCATCTGCCATTTCCATGTAATGGCTAGAAAACACAAAAGTAACTGTCCTACATATTTGTGAGTTGTGACTAGATGGTAGGAGTAAATACTAAATGTACCAGTGTCCAGTATCTAATGATTTGCCATTTTCATGTAAAAAGGCAAAAAACAATTAAAAACAATTATAGCAACAGCCATGTTATACAACATTTGAAAGGTCTAATCCTAGTGTTTATAAATATGAAAGTTATGTTTATCACATTATTTAAATAATGCATTGACAACTTAATTAAGTTCATTGTAAATTATAAAAATGTGAGCTAACACATTCATAACGTCCAAATTAAGGACCAAAGAAGCGAAAATTTGACGATTTGGGGCAAATATAAGATTTCAAAAGATCTACTTATCATTTCTTTTTTAATTTCATTATTTACGTAATTGAAAAATTATTTTAAAAAGAATTATGAATAGTATCTGTTTTCACCCATTTCCGGATAACAGCGGCTGTCCGCTCAGTAACATGAAGAGATACCTCCGTTTTCGAAAGCTTCGTATGAATAACACGTTCGTCGAAGAAAGCTTGTTTGTTCATCTACACGCTGGTAACATTGCCTGGAGTCTTTTCGTTGCTATAACATTAGATTTCATTGGAAAACAAATTGTTTTTAACGACGCTTTTTTGCCGAAATCTGCTACAAGGTTCATGATTGGTCAAATTTGAGCACGTGACTTGAGGCAGGCAATCAAATTACAAATCCTCGTGTACGATGAATTTCAGATTTTTACGAAATATTTTGGTTAAATCGTGTTATTCTGAACGTTTTTAGCAGGAAATCGCGATCTATATGAAAAATATGGAGCTTCGTGGATGTATCATTTTAGGTTACAAGCTGTGACAAAGATTTTTCATGCATATATTTTGGCATTGAACATCGTGTCCGAGCCGAGAACTCGAGGCGACGAAAGCCGAGATGTCATTTGACTAACATTACAGGCAATCGCATGAAAAGATGGAAATAATAACTTAGCTGTAAGTTTGACCACTTTAAGATATATTTTTATTGATTTTATTTATCACTTTTGCTTGAAACATCTTTGTTTTGCTCTTTGGCATGTTCGATGTGCACCCGTTGTCGAAGTGTGAGTCCGAGAATTATATTTTCAATGACATTGCGGGAAATAGTGAATAACTTTTTAATCTATCGATAAAAATGATAAATTGAAATAGAATACGTATTTCAGACATTGTGAGATGTGATAGATTTAATAAATGAATGGTATGACAGGTAGGTTCTTAAAACTATATACTATTTTGACGTGACTACGGCTTGGCCGGTTAACCGGCCTACGGACCCTAGGGACTGGATGCTTCTTGGCCGGTTTACCGTCCTACGGCGTTGAAAGAGTTAAAACACATTTAAAACGTATCTGTGATAAAAGTTTATTACAAAAAACAAGACGTACATATATACGTCTTTGAAAAAAACGTATGGTGAAAAATCGAGATACAGCACCTCACAAATCGCACACCGTATCGTATGGAGTGAATCGCGATGCATCGGTGTCCGGGATATCCTTTCAGCCCTAGTGGGAATCTCTCTTGAGAGAGTTGAGAACACTGAACATGAATACAGTTTCAGCATGCTGGGTTCCAAGGCGTCTGACTCCTGATTAGAAACGCTCCTGGGTCATCATCTCTTCTGAGAATACCCTTTGAAGCAGACCCCGTGATATGTAACAATGGATGAATATTGGGTTCACCACTATCAGGCAGAGATTAAACAGTCAAAACAGTGGAAACATCAAACGTCTCCTCCGACGAAAGAAGCAAGGTCTGATGTAGTCCTGCACATGACTGTGGAGTTGATATTATTTAGGTATTCCTTTTTACTAAAAGCCTAGGCAAGTCTAGATCAAACTCTTGATTCCACAAGATAAAAACAGAAGAGGAAAGGTTCTTTTGAAAAGATATTTTTAATATTTTTAAGACATGTTTTCATTGACTAAGTGTTAGTCTATGACCACCAGGCAGAGACCATTTACTACTACTGCTACAATCACTGTCACTGGCAGTTCAAGATTACAGATTGCTCCATGCAATCTAGTAATTAAATCGTTGATGCTCTCTTCATTGGTCGGCGCCATCTGTGAGAGGTTCACATCAAAGGCTTGTTGAATCTTGATGTGAAGGCACCTTTTAGAAGGTCACATTCATCTTTGTTGTTTTGGAAGGTCGTGGTGCCAGACCTTGGCCGTCCCATCCAAATGAAATGGGAACAGTAGGATGTGGCTTTTTCTTGTCCTGCAAAGGGCCACAACTTGATGTATGGTGTTGCATGTAGCAGGAAGAGGTTCCTGGTGAAGATGCTGTTGATGTTGCAGAGGAGGATCTGGACGTTGCTGATGTTGCTGATGCATAGGTCGTCCAAGATGTTGATTCTGTTGATGCTGTGATGACATTGACGTTGACTTTGCTGAGGGTGCAGCTACTGTAGTTCGAGTTGTTGTTGCTGTGGGGGTGGTCAGGGAGGGGAAGGCGGAAGGGGTTTAATGTGTGTCTAAAGGAAAATGGTTGAATTCAAACCTGGCTCAGGACGTCGTGGCTTCTGGTTGTAATTGGTGGGTGTGGCACAGGTCATCTAGGATTATTCTCCACCAATTGAAACAGTCTGTTTTAAGGATCGTTTATAACCTAGAATCATTTGAGGGGAGTTATCTTTGGGATCTCCACGTCTTCAAAAACACAGAGAGAGGATCTCAGTTAAGCAGGAATCCTTTATTATATATGACACGAAAAGGCACCAAACATACATTCAATCAACTGCTAAAGCATTTAGATATTCAAATTCATAATTAATAATTAAGACATAATAATGACTTATAGTGAATGATTTCTTTATTCAGTACTATACAGGCCACAGGCCCTTTGTAAAAATATATGGCATATTTATGGCAAGTCACAATGATAAAATACGTCTTCTTTCTTCTTTACTGTGATACAGATATTTAGCGATATTAATTATGAGCTTTGTGTTGGTTGTAGATAAAAGAATATTAAACTTATGGACATTTGGCTGTAGATAATATTTTGAAGGAATATAGAGATGGCATAGGTTGAGTATATGTAGGGCACACAAGCAGGAAATGAAACCCATCTTCTATTAGGCCAAATTGACATAGTTTGCAAAATCTTCCTTCACGAGGGATGTTAAGTTTTCTACCAGTTTCTATTTCCAGCCAGTGTGCACTGCATCTGAACCTTGACATACATGATCGGAATTTACTCACGGTTACACAATACAAACATTCTTCACACTTCAACGTTAATTTAAAATGAGAATAGAAGGACATTTTGGAGCTATTACATAAACTTCTATGCCATATTTGTTGAAAATTATCTTTCAAACGTTGAAATAACATCGAAGTAAATACCTGTACATTACCGGGTGATTGTGATAACCAAACATGACCGGATCCGAGAGAAAATAACGTTGTTCTCATATTAGTAACCCAATTCTTTCCTTGACTATCGTATAAATACATCATTTCATAACACTTTTTAGGTAAGCGGGCACCCGGCATACACATTAAACGTAGCCAAAATTTAAAAGCTCTTGTCATTGCATTGATATGTAAAGGGAATCTGCCACATTCACCCAATACGCAGTAGAGTATATTGTGGATGTAGATAACCACAACCACAGCTCTGACGTCATCTGACCTATCCTTGACCTATATTGAATAGGTATTGTCTCTAAATCAACAGTGAGTTGAATAGCTATTGTATCCCATCGCACCTGTGTCAATAATGTATTGAGACTGAATTGAATAGCTATTGTACGATGACCCCATCTTGTACCTATCGCACCTGCGACAATAATGTATTGAGACTGAATTGAATAGCTATTGTACGACGACCCCATCTTGTACCTATCGCACCTCGACAATAATGTATTGAGACCGAATTGAAAGGCTATTGTACGACGACCCATCCTTGTACCAACGGTGAGTTGAATAGCTTATTGTATCCCATCGCACCTGCGTCAGTAATGTATTGAGACTGAATTGAATAGCTATTGTACGTCGACCCCATCTTGTACCTATCGCACCTGCGACAATAATGTATTGAGACCGAATTGAATAGCTATTGTACGACGACCCCATCTTGTACCTATCGCACCTGCAACAATAATGTGTTGAGACCGACTTGAATAGCTATTGTATGACGACCCATCCTTGTACCAACAGTGAGTTGGATAGCTTATTGTATCCCATCGCACCTGCGTCAGTAATGTATTGAGACTGAATTAAATAGCTATTGTACGTCGACCCCATCTTGTACCTATCGCACCTGCGACAATAATGTATTGAGACTGAATTGAATAGCTATTGTACGATGACCCCATCTTGTACCTATCGCACCTGCGACAATAATGTATTGAGACTGAATTGAATAGCTATTGTACGACGACCCCATCTTGTACCTATCGCACCTGCGACAATAATGTATTGAGACCGAATTGAAAAGCTATTGTACGACGACCCATCCTTGTACCAACGGTGAGTTGAATAGCTTATTGTATCCCATCGCACCTGCGACAATAATGTATTGAAACCGAATTGAATAGCTATTGTACGATGACCCCATCTTGTACCTATCGCACCTGCGACAATAATGTATTGAGACCGAATTGAAAAGCTATTGTACGACGACCCATCCTTGTACCAACGGTGAGTTGAATAGCTTATTGTATCCCATCGCACCTGCGACAATAATGTATTGAGACCGACTTGAATAGCTATTGTATGACGACCCATCCTTGTACCAACAGTGAGTTGGATAGCTTATTGCATCCCATCGCACCTGCGTCAGTACTGTATTGAGACTGAATTGAATAGCTATTGTACGTCGACCCCATCTTGTACCTATCGCACCTGCGACAATAATGTATTGAGACTGAATTGAATAGCTACTGTACGACGACCCAATCTTGTACCTATCGCACCTGCGACAATAATGTATTTAGACAGAATTGAATAGCTATTGTACGACGACCCCATCTTGTACCTATCGCACCTGCGACAATAATGTATTGAGACCGACTTGAGTAGCTATTGTACGACGACCCATCCTTGTACCAACAGTGAGTTGGATAGCTTATTGTATCCCATCGCACCTGCGTCAGTAATGTATTGAGACTGAATTGAATAGCTATTGTACGACGACCCCATCTTGTACCTATCGCACCTGCGACAATAATGTATTGAGACCGAATTGAATAGCTATTGTACGACGACCCCATCTTGTACCTATCGCACCTGCGACAATAATGTATTGAGACCGAATTGAATAGCTATTGTACGACGACCCCATCTTGTACCTATCGCACCTGCGACAATAATGTATTGAGACCGAATTGAATAGCTATTGTACGACGACCCAATCTTGTACCTATCGCACCTGCGACAATAATGTATTGAGACCGAATTGAATAGCTATTGTACGACGACCCAATCTTGTACCTATCGCACCTGCGACAATAATGTATTGAGACCGAATTGAATAGCTATTGTACAACGACCCCATCTTGTACCTATCGCACCTGCGACAATAATGTATTGAGACCGAATTGAATAGCTATTGTACAACGACCCATCCTTTGCTGTCCCTTTGCTGGTGACCGCCCAAATACTCTTCATCAATGGTCTGGAACTGTAGGACTTTGACACAAGTTTCTACGACACATACACAGCTGTGGCAAAAATCTGATCGACACAAGTCTACTTGATAAAGTCGCAGTAATCCACATCACAGAGGTAAAGCTGTGTCTGGACTTGAAAGAAATATTGATGATTACATTAAGTTGTAAACCATAGTACATTTTCATCCTGCATACAGTATGAACACTTCTATACAACAATCGCATTCCACCAATCTATTCCCAAGTGTGCATATTCTGAACTAAGAAACAGGTAACATTTTCCCGACTTCTAGTTGACGTGGATTGGAGATGTCTCTATGTAATACTTCTTCCGAGCTGAGTATTCATTCTTGCATCCTCTTTCAGCCGGGTAGCAAAATTGATTTTACCAACCTCATTGGTTGATTCTCGCATGATGTTGAGCAGGCTGCTTTCATTCCCGACGCTGTGACTCTGTCAGTTCTAAATCGATGCCAGGACTTGCTGTCAAGTTGTTCTCTGGTTGCAGATTCAACATTTGCTGATTCTTAATCAGTGACAGTAATCTTTGGTAATATAAATTTGCAGTGATCCAATATATCCTAACGAGTCATACATAAAACAAGACTGAAGCAACATGGGAACAACTTTCACCAAGACCAGCTTTGCAGTTACTATATGCTGAAATTATTATTGTTATTGTCAATGGATGGAGACTAGGATCTGATAGACTTCGTGAATGCATCACTCTTGCTTTGATGATTTGGCTTGGGTTATCACTAGCATTATATGTGTACAGTAGTCACAAACATCTCTCACCCAGGGACAAACAAACCGATCGCAAGCCTCTAAACTCTTGTAATTTTGAAAGTCCTTCGGTGAGTACAATTGTTTGGATTGAAAACTAGATAGTTTATGAAGTTCGGACAGTTAAGTGCTTGAAACAAACTTTGGTCTCCGTTCCATGATGATTTATCGATCTGATAGATCATGATTTCCTATAGGAATTATATTTCCAATAATTTTTTTCCAAATACATGGCATGTCCTTGCTAATCCAAGCTGTCAGCATAATTCTCCATCATCAGATGATCATCAGATAATTTAAAAAAACCTTTATTTATCCGTAACACCCGATAGACATTCTTGCCGAGCGTATTTGTCACATATTTGTCAGTACAATGTGAGCCTATCAAAATGGTACGCTGCATGGGATTGTGGGTAATATTACTTATTTTAGCACAAAATACGAAGCTAGGGGATTCGGAAAAACTTGTTTTCACAGGTGACTGACTGCCTTCACTATATGCAGTCTGCAGCTGAATCACCAAATGACTTACAAAAAGCTCTGAATATTTTTGAAAAATACTGCCATCAATGGAAATTGGAGGTTAACATTAGCAAAACTAAAATTCTCATATTTGAGAAACGCTCCCGCTCTAAAAATCTAAACTTTATATTTCGTAACACACCCTTGGAAATTATTAAAGAGTTTTCATATTATTAACAAGCACTGGTCGTTTCCACAAAGCTATCAAAAAGTTAAGTGAGCAAGCATCAAAAGCAATGTACACATATTTAGAAGAATAAGAACACAAGACATTCCTTAAGATTGCCAACTTAAACTGTTCGACAATTTGGTTCAACCGATACTTCTTTATTCTTCAGAAGTATGGGGGTATGAAAATGTAAAGACAATTGAAAGAATTCACCTAAAGTTCTGTAAATCTTTCCTCAGGTTAAAACAGTCAACACCCGATTTTCTAGTATATGGTGAATTAGGTAGACATCCATTAACGATTCAGATAAAATTAAGGATGATATCTTTTTGGAGCAAACTAATTTTATCGCCTAATAAACTATATGGCCGCATCTATCTGCTAATTCATAATATCACAATGACTAGAAATACTGCATTTCCATGGCTCACCTCAATTAAAAATATTTTATATGAAACTGGTTTGAATTTTGTCTTTGATACTAACTCTTTTCCAAATCTCTCTTGGCTTAAAACAAACATTTAACAAACATTAATAGACAACTTCTATCAAAGCTGGAATGTCAAGGCTTGTTCTTCATCTAAAGGCAAATATTATACAATGCTAAAAGACAAACCACAGTTTGAGGAGTATCTATTATCTCTCCCATTTAAACAAGCAATCTGGATTCTTAAACTGAGAACAAATCATAGACTACCAATTGAGAAAGCCAGATGGTTTAACATACAGAGTACAGAGAGAACTTTATATAACGACTAAATAGGAGACGAATTTCACTTTCTAATAGTATGTCCAAGACTAAATGACCTTCGAAAACAATACCTTCCGGCATACTATACTAATATCCCTCCACTCTAAAATACAATCAATTAATGAAATGTTCATACAAACCCATTCTAGTAAAACTGGCTCAGTTCTGTAAAAAAGGTTTAACATTATTTACATAATTAAATATCATAGGATTATCGAGCTATGGCTGGAAAATTGACCTTGCCACGTTAAAATGTGTGAATTTCACTCTACAATTTAATATATGTGTATATTTTGTGTGTTAATGTGTGTAGTTATGCAGATCATACATGTATTATAGAAATGCATTATGCGTGATTGGGTGCATGTATGTATTCATGTATGTACATATTATTAGATATTATTGTTGGTGTGGTTGTGTATACATTCAACCTCCATTCGTCACAACTCGCCCCTTTCCGTAACCTGACATCACCCCGCCCACATGCAAATGTGTACACTTGGTGCCATCTACAGTGATGTGACTGGCATTATGCTTACAGCAGCATTCAAACAAACTACCTCACTGCTGCCACACTTTACTTTTTTTATATATGTTTTCACGGGATGTCCCAAACACTTACATATATTAATGATGTCTTATAAACCAACTGAGACATTTGTACTGTTTAATTTGCCTAACCTGTAAAATGGGTAGCCTGTTAGATTTGCCCAAGTCTCGAAGGCAAAACTTATTAGTTTTAAATAATAACTTCTAGATTATGTAAAGAGTAAGAACATTTTGACGTTGGATTCATCTAGACTTTCCCACAATGAGTATAAAATTACAAGGAGCCATACTAGTAGCCTGTATACAATACTTCTAATGCATACCAAAAATGCAAAACTAAATTCCAGTTTATTGATTAATTTTTTTATACTTTATCTGACCCTAACATGAAGACCAAAACAAACACCAGTTCCAACTGGTAAGACCTGCAAACAAAACAAAAACGAATTCAATATAATTTTTATGGATATACAATACTGATATTGATCAATCATCTTGTTTGGGGGTGACACATCACTTTCTCGTCCTCTTTCAAACTATCTGATGGGGAATGACAACCACGGACATTTAACCATATTTAATGTAATGAATATGAACATTACTATCCTGGATTAGAATTTGAATTTTGAATTTAATGTTATACTGGATATTTAGAAAGTTATCGTGTCCTATCCAAAGACACCACAACTGAAAACGTTGAAGGAAACAGGGAATGCTAGAGAAGTAGTTGATGTGGAACTGGATATATTCGTTGCTATACGGGAGTTATGACATACTGCTAACGAGAAGGAATATTTCCTATTTTAATGCCCAATTCCCAGTGTTTATTTTCCATGACACAATGGCAAAGTGGAAGGTGATACTGGGAATAAAATTCCTTGAAATGCCACACTTGCTTACAAAATACACAAACGTTTTACAAACATTTTGAGATATTTCCTCTTAGTTTTGCATAAAATAACGATTGTTTACAGATTGATAAAGAAGGAAAGTTTCTTCAGGTTATGCTGTACCGCAAACAATGCAGTCTCATTGCATGCTTTGTGCTGTCACAACACGGCAGAAGTACGATGCACTTCCGGGTTCAGTTTAGAAGCAGTGCGTACGAAATAAGTGTCACGTGCATACACAAGCCACGCCCACTCATGAATATTGTAGACTTAAGACCATTGTAGGTTTAAGGGCACAACACACGTTGCAACATTAGGAGAGGAGAGCGCGGATTTCAGTTGATGAGTCGAACCTCGATCGTCATAAGTTCACCCCACTTTGTGGACGAACCTCGTCGGTCTGATCCTATCCTGTATTGATATATGGACTGAGAGTAAGTAAAACTGATGTGAGTATAAAGCTGCGTTTCTTTATTATGCGAGCACAAATGCTGATGGAGACAATTCGGAGTAAGCGTCGTAAGACCAATCACTCCATGACTGGGAGATGCTGACAGGTCGAGCTGCACAGCCATGGCTTAACTGAGCGTGATGGCAAGGGACGACAATATTTTCAGTAACTGTAGTAGGGTCCCACTTGACACCAGAAAGCAGTTACGACAATATAGCACTATCCAATTCAGTCATTCTGGGAACTCCATAATTTATATCATTCCGGATTTGCTCTACTAATGACATTCAAGAACTAAATTTCGAGACCCCCTAAGGCTATCGTTTATAGTGAATGTGGAAGATATCTGCTTCACATAATTCTATGTTTGGAGTTTTTATATGTTAAGTAAGGATAAGAATTTATGGATGAATTGTTTTTATATTGTTCACATATCCATTAATAAAGTAACTCCTTTCCTGTGTCCGTTTGGAAGTCTTGCTTTGTTCGGGATGAAAATTCAAATGCATTTATTACCAGGAAAATCGTTGAGATTGTCGCTTCCCGATGACATTGATCCATCAGTGACAGCTCAGCATCGCAAAGCTTGGGGGCTAGCAACGGTTGACTGTTTGATAAAACGGCCCAGTCAACGATCGTCCTACACATAGAGAGACGTACCGGATAAATTGTTCAACATAAAGGTACGTCTTTTCGTTGAATATTAATGAGTGTGCGGAACGTTTTTGATAACGTCACACTTGTTTCGTATGCACTGCGTCTCACCTAAAAGGTGGAACAGGGTACTACATTCTACTTCTGCCGAGTTGTGACAGCATACAGCGTATACACTTCATTGTTTGCGGTACAATCAATATAACCTAGACAACCTGTAACTTCTTTGTTAAATAAACAATCGATCATAACAATTACTCCCTGAACAAAGCGAACTGTATATTACTAGGGCTGCAACGATACACCTAAGTCATGATACGATACGTATCTCGATACTTACATCACGATTCGATACGTATCTCGATACGCTACGATACATATGTGACAAGAGAAGACAAGAGATAAATGAATATAACTTAGTTTATTAAAATGAAAAATTAAATGAAAGTGAATGAATGTTCATGAGTCATAAAATATATACTGTAATGAGTAATTTAACTTAATAAATCATCTGCCATTTCCATGTAATGGCTAGCAAACACAAAAGTAACAGTCCTACATATTTGTGAGTTGGGACTAGATGGTAGGAGTAAATACTAAATGTACCAGTGTCCAGTAACTAATGATTTGCCATTTTCATGTAAAAAGGCAAAAAACAATTAAAAACAATTATAGCAACAGCCATGTTATACAACATTTGAAAGGGTCTAATCCTAGTGTTTATAAATATGAAAGTTATGTTTATCACATTATTTAAATAATGCATTGACAACTTAACTAAGTTCATTGTAAATTATAAAAATGTGAGCTAACACATTCATAACGTCCAAATTAAGGACCAAAGAAGCGAAAATTTGACGATTTGGGGCAAATATAAGATTTCAAAAGATCTACTTATCATTTCTTTTTTATTTTCATTATTTACGTAATTGAAAAATTATTTTAAAAAGAATTATGAATAGTATCTGTTTTCACCCATTTCCGGATAACAGCGGCTGTCCGCTCAGTAACATGAAGAGATACCTCCGTTTTCGAAAGCTTCGTATGAATAACACGTTCGTCGAAGAAAGCTTGTTTGTTCATCTACACGCTCGTAATATTGCCTGGAGTCTTTTCGTTGCTATAACATCAGATTTCATTGGATAACAAATTGTTTCTAACGACGCTTTCTTGTCGAAATCTGCTACAAGGTTCATGATTGGTCAAATTTGAGCACGTGACTTGAGGCAGGCAATCAAATTACAAATCCTCGTGTATGATGAATTTCAGATTTTTACGAAATCTTTTGGTTAAATCGTGTTATTCTGAACGTTTTAAGCAGGAAAAATATGGAGCTTCGTGGATGTATCAGTTCAGGTTACAAGCTGTGACAAAGATTTTTCATGCATATATTTTGGCATTGAACATCGTGTCGGGGCCGAGAATTCGAGTCGACGAAAGCTGAGATGTCATTTGACTAACATTACACACGATCACATGAAAAGATGGAAATAATAACTTAGCTGTAAGTTTGACCACTTTTAGATATAGTTTTATTGATTTTATTTATCACTTTGTATAACATATTTAAAGATTTGCTTGAAACGTCTTTGTTTTGCTCTTTGACATGTTCGATATGCACCCGTTGTCGAAGTGTGAGTCTGAGCATTATATTTTCAATGACATTGCGGGAAATAGGGATTAACTTTTTAATCTATCGATAAAAAATGATAAATTGAAATAAAATACGTATTTCAGACATTGGGAGAAGTGATAGATTTAATAAATGAATGGTATGACAGGTAGGTTCTTAAAACTATATACTATTTTGACGTGACTACGGCTTGGCCGGTTAACTGGCCTACGGACCCTAGGGACTCGATGCCTACGGCGTTGAAAGAGTTAAAACACATTAAAAACGTATCTGTGATAAAAGTTTATTACAAAAAACAAGACGTACATATATACGTCTTTGAAAAAACGTATCGTGAAAAATCGAGATACAGCACCTCACAAATCACACTGCGTATCGTATGGAGTGAATCGCGATGCATCAGTGTCCCGGGATATCGTTTCAGCCCTACTGTCTTCCAGATAAAATGCCAACAGCCAACACAGTGTGAAGAACATCGTGACACCCCAGTGATCTAGTCATCTCTGTACCCAAAGGGGAGCGTGTCTACAGGCACCCCTGTGGTTTCGCCATAGCCAAGAGCATTGGTTTCTGTAATTCAAGGTGAACCCTCGCACTTTGCAGGTCGTGTGCGTTCCATCGGGTCTGGGGTTCATTAACTCATAGCCATAGATTTTTGGGCCTCTTGACACAAACGTCTTGATGGTGTTTCTGTCCAGTTCGTCTGTAAACTCACCCAACGAATGGCCCAGCTCGGGATTCGTTTCATGGGGTCAATGAATGTAAATGATGCTGTCCGTGTCAAAGTACAAGGCCCTGCGACCCACGAGGGAGACGGTCTCGTACAGCTTGAGACGCGCTTTTGTGTTGTGACCCAAGCAGCTATGGCGACATTGAAATCAGAATGAGGGGTTTGGAATTCTTCCTTGCGGATATAGGTCACTTCCACCATGTGTTCGTTTATGACGGTGACATCCTCGATGGTATTTCGTTCATCTCTCCACAAGGTAAAGTACTGTGCAGGATCATTCATATAGACGGTCTGACTATAGTTTAAGCGCTGTCTGAACTGGCCCGAGAGCGAATTAAGAAAGAGCTTGGCAATAGCGCGGCATGCTGGGTTCTTCTCGATGATAGGGGTCAAAGAGTTCTTCTCAATATAGGGGTCAAAGAGTCTTTGTTGCTGGGTCTCAGGGTCATACTTTGCAAAGGTGTCGAAATGCCAAACGTCGAAGATCTGAAGCACCTAGTAGCCATACTTCTTCACGGCTTCATGGAGTTCTACGGTGGCGTATATGCCTACCAAAGACCTCTCTTCGTCCGTGTGCTCGCAAGGTTAGATTGACCGGGTATCGGCACACATGCGGCACAAAGGACAGATCAGTTTTCCACCCGATCTGTATGGCGGTAGCGGATGGTAGAGTTGTTTTGGGGGTAAGACAGGAGATTGGATAAGACCTTTCAGCTCAAACAACGTGTCCACAGGCGGTTGATGGAGGGTTGAGGGTCCTGTGGGAAACGCTCCGGTCTTGCAAATGTGGGGGTAAAGTGAACAGATATTGATATACTTGATGGTTTCACCTTCTTGGGCTTCATAGCATAATTGGATGGCATTGGTTCGTCCTCCATAGAAGGCGCCGCAAGGGTTAAGCAGTCCAGGTAGGTGGGTACAGTGGGGTCCCTGCAAGAAAGCATGCAAAGTGGAGTCCTCCTGTTGCATTTGTTTAAACTCATGCTCCCACAGGGTGATGATACGTTTCACATCAGGGTGTTGGTTCAAGAGACTCGGTATAACGGTATAACGTGCACCCATCAACGTGCCCAGGGTGGGATGAGGTACTCCACATTTGGTCTTGTAATATTTCTGACATCCATGCCAGAAACACCCCACGAATTCGTAGATGGTGCCTGTCGCTGGATCGTAGCCATCCACACTGTAACAATGTTTACCCTCTCCGTACGTGAACTCCTTTTCACCTGGCGTGCTGGAGGTGCAGTTCGGGGTCGGTCTCCATGAGATAACTTAACTAGTTCATACAGGGCTGGGAATATTTTCTCTTGGGTTGGTAGCCTTGAGGTGGAAGAATGGCTATGGTATCAGGTTTCAGATCGTGTTTTCGGAAGGATTTCATGGTGAATGCAGGGAACGTCATCACCTCTTCAAAGGTATCCATGCGAACCGTCCTGATGGTGTTATGTCGGCAGTCAGCACATCCACGTCTCAAAATATCGAAATCACTCTGACAGTAGGCTAAGAGTTCTTCTTGCAAGTCAAACAAGGCTCCTTCTTGAACTTTCTTGGTATGCCACTGAAGGAAGGCAGTGCGTTCGGCGGGAGACATGCCATCGGGATCGTACATGACGGCTGGTGGATAGGGACCTCTGTAGGTCTGGTTGGCTTTGGTATTGAAAAAGTGAGGAAAATACCCTTTCTTCAGTTCATTCAGTCCAAAGGTCTTTGGAAATGCTTTCAGCGTGTAGGGTATGAAATTCAAACTGTCTTCGAAACACAATCGTCCCAGGGTCGCCTGTAAAATCTGTTGTCCATTCTGAATCCTGGTGGGGAGTTTCACCAGATGATGATCAAGTGCAGATCATAGGCTCACGCGTTTTGTGTCATCACATAAATGTGCTCCTCCTTCTCGAGCGGCTGGATGGTGGTGTACTTCTTCCTCGTCTTCTTCATCTACTTCTCCCCCTCCTCCAACGGGGTGGGCGCATCCACCTCCATGTATCCTCCCCCTTCCCCTCCTCCTCCTCCTGGGGTGATGGACGTCGCTGACGTTTTGTAGGGCAATGGCCGGAGAGGGTTCCGTCCTGTTTTCTTTTGCCTAGACGTGCCATCGTCCCCTTGCATGCACCACCACCCTCCTTCTCTTGGTTCTTCTTCTTCTTCTTGTGTTTTTCGGCCAGGGCTGTCAATCAGACACACACATTGCGTAGCATGGTGGGGCCTCGAAACATGATCTCATGGCTGGGACCGTTACCTTCTTCTCTCCATGGACAGTGTTCGCACAACTCCTTTGTCACTTCACCGATGCATCGTCAACATCCTAAAGTACTCATGGAAATGAAAAAAAACCTGTTTGCTGGATTTAATAATCGACACAAAGCAATACGTAGATGTAAATACGAATTAACAAAACAACTGGAAAAGTACTAGTCTGTATTTGCTAGTTTTATCTCAGTGCTCAATACAAAATGTACTTTACAGGAGGTAATTTGTAGGCACTTTCAACATACAAAAATAAAACTAAGTCCAAATTGACATGGCAGAATCAGGCTATAGGCATTATGCAAATTAGCCTGGAAAAAAGTTATTAAAACAACAATAAAAATAACAGCTATGTTTATGTGCATAATAATAATGACATGTAAGTTGTTGTTTGAGAAGGGAATAAGTTACTTTTACGTTCTGATATTTTGAGGATGATTCACTATCCCACAATGCCACTGACAAATCACTAACCACTGACAAATCACATGCACGTGGGTTTCAAGCACCTGTTTTCACCTGTCGTCAAGGTGTCATAGGTCATGGACAATCACCTTGATCTACTAACACCTGGTTATGCTCAGTTTCACAATAGACATAAAAACCTTTGATACGCTGTATTTGTGCCAAGGCCCAATTAGTACTGATTGAGTTGTTTGAATATTTATATATTTTGTATATTAACTGCATTTATTTAAAATCTGAGATCGAAAAAAAGTTTTTTTCCATTTCCGTGAGTACTTTAACTGCACCACGCACAAATTTAGGATGTGCTCCCCTGTGTCTTGCCTACATTCAAAATCATAGAAGACGTTTTTGACGTTGTCTCGTTGGATTTGGTTGTAGCATTCCTCCTCCTCCCCCTCTCCTTCATCCTGCTCCCCCTTGTCTTCATCATGGGCTTCACAGAGGGGTGTCATGTAGCAGCGATGGTTTGGGGTCACGGGTTCTCGACACACTAAGCAGGGACGTCTTTCATCTGAGCACTCGTGATGAGTCATGGGGGTATCCAAGAGGTGGACAAGCTGAAAACAGGTCGGGCAAATTTGTGAATCGATTGACAGGCGCAGGGTTTTCCCTCTGACTGTGACTGGAGATGTTGGGTGTAACAGTGTTGATTTGGGAACCAGAGTAGACATGTCAAGCAAGGGATGCCGTGCTCTTCCTTGGGCCCGCAATAGCTGAAGTGGAGGCAGTGGTTGCAACCGTATTGCTTGGTGCAGGGATGGTTTCTTGGATGATCATAACGGTGGTCACTAGGGGTGACTATTAAGGCATTTTTGGCTATTGCGATACTATTGCGATACTATTGCGATAGTTAAGACAACTATTGTAATACTATTGCGATAGTGGCCCTACTATTGCGATACTAATGCGATAGTTTTCACTTGCAATTATAGCAGGCTTTAGCAGCATATATTTCAGCATTTTGACTGACACCATCAAAATAATTATAACTTTCTGATACTATTTGTAAAGAAAACAAGTTCAAATTGGCATTTCAAAGACATGGGAAAAAAAATTCACTTCATGTAACTGGTTAAGTCTTAGGTTACTGCAGTGTTTTAGCACCAATGTGAATGAATGTGACTGAATGACTAGTATTTGACTATACAAACTGTCAAACTCTTTAATTGTTTTTTAAGAAAGTAAATGTACTAAACAAATTAACAATCGAAACTATCGATAGTTAGACGAACTATCGCCAATTGATGGAATAAATGCTGCACGGTGGCATTGGGTGGAGCCTCATCACACTTGTACATCCGTCTCTGGTCCACCTCTTGACTGTAGACTTTCAGTTCATAATTGATTTGGGCCAATGTACGTCCCACGCGTGCTAGGTCGTCCAGGCCCCGACAGGGACCTTCAGGAATGCCAAGACGGTGAAACAAGACCCGTGCCCGTATGCCTTGAACCTCGACTCAATCCATTCTTTTCAGTCTCTTTCTCTTGGTTTCCCATTCTTGGGTCAGAGGATTGTTCTTCAGGGCTTAATGCTGTGCCACCACAAGGGCCCTTGCCAAACAGGATTGATCTTGATCCGTACAATGCCGTTTTTGCATTCTAAAAATGCTTCAAGTCAGATGGTGGCGGCCACTGCCTGATCGTAGCCTGTTGGGATCTGCTACATGTACTAAGGTCACAACCATGGTGGCATTGATGTTCAGGACTTTGTTGGACTGTTGGACTTTTTCCATGGCATGCAAGATATCTAGGCCATGGAGATCTTCAAAGCGACGAAAGGGAATGCGTATGGGTTTGTTCAAAGCGGGGTGGTCGATACATGGACCAATACGATCCCCCTTCTGGCCTGACATCTGTTGATAGAAGTCATCGATCACCCTGTCAAATAAAGACAGTAGTTCTTTGGGAACGTTGTCCGGTGGTACGGTTTCCAAGAATGTCAAACGATACGTATGGTTAGCGGTTCTTAAACGTCTGGATCGTGTCATGTCTTTCCAGATACCCAAATGGCAGCAAGTTCCGCTTCGATGATCCTTGTCTTGTCAGTAAGATAATAAGATTGAACATGATGTTGCTTCTTGGACAGCGGCACAAAAGTTTTCTTCTTCTTCAAACGGCCCTTTTCAGGGCCACCCATCTCTCCCGAAAAAACGCTTTCATCCTTGCTTTGACTACCCTCTCCGCCAAAACAAACCAAAAAAAACCAAACCCCTCCACCCTACCACTTTTTCGCCTTCCCGCCCTCTCTCCTCCCACCCTCTCTCCTCCCACCATCTTGGCAGCGCCGTGCTGCCATCTTGGATGAGGAGATGGCCCCTCGGAACCAGACGCGCCGCCATCTTGAAGATGCGCAAGCCTCCCGGAACCGGACGCGCGCCCCACCAGAACCGGAAGTGACGCCATCTTGGATGCACACGCATGAACCCACAATGCCCTCTGTGCATGTGCACAGGTCACGTTACCCGAAGTGTCGTCATCACAGAACCGACCAATCAGAAGCCAGGAGCGGTCCTAGAGTGCTGCTACCAACTACTAATAACTAGAAGTAACACGATAACCTAAACAGCAAAAGCAAAACCCTGACACCACCTGCATAATGAAAATAAAAGCGACAAAACCATTTCCATATTCAATAGAAATATCTACTAAAAGCAGTGTCGATTGTACGATTCTAACTTCAACAGCATGTGTTTATGAATTACTACTGTCAGTAAAACCTTGAAAATGCAGATTAAGTGGTGCTAAGCGAGTAGGCAGCGGGCATTAGAGAGACTGGTATATAATAACCTCTGCCGCCTCGATCCCTGGCTCTCTAAACAGGAGCCAGCTTAGATTCCAGCAATAGATGTTAGATGACAAGTCGCTTCATGGGGCTTATGTAAATTCAAAGTGTCATTACACAATTTCAATGTACGTTTTAGAGGTAGATGTGAAAAAAGGGAAGTTGACATGGGTATCTGTAAAAACTGCCAATTAGGTGATGTTATGGATGGATTTCATGTTTTATTGGTATGTGATAAGAATGGACATCTAAGAGAAAAATAGATTCCGATGTTTAACAGTAGGCATAAAAACACGATGTTAATGATCAGTCTTATAAAATCCAACAACACTGCTGTTATCCGTTAATTAGCCATATTGTTGAAACATGTTCTCTGTTTTTTTTATATATCATGTACATCACGTGACTAAACAAATAAAACTGAAAATGTCAACTGTACAATGGGCCATGTGGCCTTAAATACAATGTGCCATGTGGCCTTAAATACAATGTGTCATGTGGCCTTAAATACAATGTGTCATGTGGCCTTAAATACAATGTGCCATGTGGCCATAAATACAACGTGTCATGTGGCCTTAAATACAATGTGTCATGTGGCCTTAAATACAACGTGTCATGTGGCCATAAATATAATGTGCCATGTGGCCTTAAATACAATGTGTCATGTGGCCTTAAATACAATGTGTTATGTGGCCTTAAATAACGAATAAAATATCTATCTGTACCAGGGCAATGCTAGCAGGGCGATGCCGACTGTGTGGGTGGCTGGCCAAAGAGGTGGCAGCATTGGCCCAAAACAAGCATGCTACTTGGGAACGAACACCTAATTGCTTCATTCCATAAACATAAAGATTGCTGCCCTAACTTTCTTGATCTGTGACGTCCTGCATTGCTTTGCCCCTGTAGCGAATTATTGTGCATTTCTCATGTGCACCACCAAAAGAAGGTGGTGTTGAAGGTCTTAACTTTATACCACTCACACCTTTCACAACAAGGCAAGGGGATGGAACGACGGATCTTCCGCTCTCCGGGCAGACCATGGAGGCGTTAAAATCAAAACCAAAACACAATAAGTTCGTACTACATAAATTGCACTAAAGACAATTATCTCATTGTCTCACTTGCTTCAGATGGATCCTGGCGAAACAACATTAGTGCACCAGAGCTTTGTGTCTCAGCCGATGGCAAACAGACCAGTAAGACATTTACCCGGAATAGGTCAAGTTTATGGAAGTGTGTTAGAGGCTGCAGGGTATGACACGGTAAGTAAGTAGTAAACATAAAGGATTCAAATGGGACATATACAAATACACCTGACAAAAATCCTTACTATATCCAATAGACATCTCTGCCAAACAGAGTCGATTCTGCGATTCCGATTATATCAAAAGCATGTGTTTATGAGTCACTATCAAATAGTGATGATACCAGGTGTTCACAAAATGGTGAGTGTATCCTGTCCTACCGGTGGCACCCGTTACAAACACATGCAAAGGCATGTGAACAAATCAAAATAGGGAATTGTATCAGACATCATTTTGTTTATCAATGATGCGTCAATTTCGGAAATGTCCTCCACATTGATCAAACAAATTCTGAGCAAGAGTCGTATGACCGTCTTTGCAATCTTGGTATAAAGAGCATGCTCGATTGTACCTGAAAAGTTGTTAAAAATAGACACCAAGGGCTGGAGCTGCAGGAATATAGCTCGGCATAAAGGGAAAGCTAACTGTTGGAAATCTTAAGTCATCCCTCTTTTCATAGTATGTGGAGAGTGTTTTGTCACTCTGAATAGTTATGCATACATCTAAATATGAAACAGATGAAGCGGTCTCAGTGGCAACATTATTTCTTCTTCAGGTGGGTAAAGGGAATTGGCTATTTGATGATTATTGAACGATATCCGATCATCAATATACCCGAAGCTTAAGTTAAACTTCTTTTATCTTATTATCTTCTTTTGACTTTTCCAATCCGAGCGGAAATTCTGATTCATATGCATAAAGAAACAGATCAGCAAAAAAGAGGAGCGCATTTGGTGCAAATGGGGATGTTGTCAATGAGGAGGTCAGGCATTTCACAAATTGTCTTCCCAATAAACTGCAGATGGTATTTGCTTTCATTTTGGACAAATTGTGCCGGGGTGAGTGGCTTCACTGTTTTTTATAGGAGAGGGACCGGATCGAACATCGCTACAAGCTGATTGGTCAGACCAACGGTCAACAATGCCCATGGATGAGTAAAGTCGACAATAGTGGCGTACCCAGCTGATGAATCGATCTTATCCCAGAGCCCGCACTGGTTTAAGAACAAGTCTGAGGCTATCACAGTATTACAACAAACTATACAACGCGGAATTTACATCCCCGACTGTTGGAGTGGACCATATTATCCTCCTCCCTCCCTCCTCCTCCTCCTCCCGCCGCCGCCGCCTCCCTCGTCCCTCCTCCTCCGCCTCTGCCCTCTTGGAGGCAGGCGGTTTCGGGAAAACCACATTCTGACTTCTTTAGTATTATTTTTTTAACTTTAAGGTCCCGTGATTCTAGCTCCATAGTAACTAAGTTATAAGTACATCCGGTTTGGATTATGTAACTTCCGGTTTCAGAAAATACATTCTACCTGCATTAAACCTCAAAATTCCATGGTTCTAGCAAAGCTTATAACAAAAGTATTCGGAGTTTAAATTATGTCATTCCAGGTTTTGAAAACATGCTTACTTTTAGACAGAATTTCAATGGTTCTAACCAGCGTTTGAAATTTAAAAACATGTCTGGCTGCCACCAGGATCCACATACTTTAGAAGCTACAGGCCCTTACTAAACTCTTCACCCCTTCATTTAAAGTTTTTTTCTTAATTTTATTTACGGCAGGCCGTAAGGACCCATACAAATTTGAAACTTATGGCCCAACACGAGACCTGCCTGCCTACTCAGTTTGTAACACAGTTTAGAGTTTTCAAGTTTAAAATATGTCACTTGTGATTTCGGAACTTGAAACGAGAAAGAATTTAAGGTTTATTTGCGATATCGAGAATACTTTTAACCTGAAAGTCCTATCACATTGGCATTGTCACTTCTTGTCGCGGAAACATATTGAGTTTCAAACCAAAACGGCCCATATCTCAAGCACAATAGGCCTTGGTTCCAGCTGATATAGATAGCAAGTTAATAGTAATTCCAACATTGTAATATTATTGAATTCAGGCTGTTATTGGTAGATGCTATCTGCTTATATGTTGTTCCGTACTTGGGGACAGAAATGGAAGGTAAACAGTTTCAGTTTCTTACAACAAGCAATAGAGTGTTTGCAACATATTGCGTCCCCGCAGGATCCTGAGCCACATGAGCTTTCTTAGTTTTCCAAGTGTAAAGAACCAGACTTGTATCAGCAAAACGAATTATACATGATGTAACATTTGTCTCCTCTTACATAGTTTACATTAAACTAATCCTACAATCTTCAGGTGTTCGAGTCCCAAGGTGTTTCATGGTATCATTTACTTTCTACACATTAAACAGCTGGCAGTCATAGCTGTAGGCATGAGAAATACTTTCTACCACATGCGCCACCTTTATTCCTTGATCCATGGGGCTTTTATATTGACGAAGCACTCTCCACAAGACTTTATGACAGAAGCGATGAATTCAGCTTTCCGATAGTCAACGTTTCCTTTTTGTCGAGCTATATTCCTTTCCAGGAACAATCGAGCATGTTCTTTCTACCAAGATTTCAAAGAGCATCACACGATTCTTGCTCAGAAGTTGATCAAGGGTACAACATTGAAGGCCCCAGTAAAGCTTTCAAAACATTTTATGGTAGACACATCAGTGACAAAAATGATGTTCGATGCAATTCCCTAGTTTGATTTGTACCATATGTTACCGTGTGTTTTCAGGTGAACCGTTCGATTCGCCTTTGCATGTGTTTGTGATTGGTGCCTCGGGTAGGCTAGGAAACGCTCCACTATTCGCGAACACCTGGTATCATCACTGTTTGATAATGATTCATAAACCTAAGCTGATTATACAATCGATTGTTTTTGACAGAGATTTCTTATATATGTGGAAAACATTTTGTCGCCTTTATTCAACATCTTTATTATCCCCCGCCTTCCGTCCGTCCGTCACATTTCGTTTCCGGAGCAGATCTTGAAAACCGTACCATGTTTCTTCACCAAACTTGGCACATAGATAGATCTAGTGGTGAAATGGTGCCTTTTGATAGTTTGGGATTTAAAAAAAAAATTTTTTCAACTTTCCATGGCAACGACTTTGATTTAGACAGAAAATGGTGGTAGTCCTCATTTCCGGAGCAGATCTTGAAAACCGTACCATTTTTCTTCACCATATTTTGCACATTGCTGGTCTAGTGGTGAACTGGTGTCTTTTGATAGTTTGGGATATTTAAAAAAAAATTTTTTCGAGTTTCCATGGCAACGACTGTGTGAGTGTATGTTCCTCCAAAAGTGTCATGGACACAGTTGTTGCATTCACTGACTAACTTCATACAGAAACATAACTCATTACAAATACAACAGTGTAACTGGTCTTAAACCTACTCAACTGTATAAACAATATATATTCTTGTCAACCATACTCTGTACGTCTCTTGCTTGATAATGGTGTTAGAACCTACACCGAAACCTTCGCTCCCAATTGTAATAAAGAAGTTGTTCGTCAATATGTCTCATCCTTACTCATTACAAATTCAGTAACATATATTCTATCATATCGGAGCAGATCTTGAAAACCGTACTATATTTCTTCATCAAATTTGACACATAGATAGGTCTAGTGGTGAACTGATGCCTTTTGATAGTTTGGGATTTAAAAAAAAAAAAAATCGAGTTTCCATGGCAACGACTTTGATTTAGACTGAAAATAGTTGTTGTCCTCGTTTCCGGAGCGGATCTTGAAACCGTACCATTTTTCTTCACCATATTTTGCACATTGATAGGTCTAGTGGTGAACTGGTGTCTTTTGATAGTTTGGGATTTTAAAAAAAAGTTATTTTTCGAGTTTCCATGGCAACGATTTTGACTTAGACTGAAAATGGCGGTAGTCCTCGTTCCCGGAGCAGATCTTGAAAACCGTACTATATTTCTTTACCAAACTTGGCACATAATGTCATCTCACAGTATTGAATACATTTCCTTTCTTGTCGGTAAGTTCTGCATTGCTTGAGTGTATGTTCCTCAAAAAGTGTCATGGACACAGTTGTTGCATTCACTGACTAACTTCATACAGAAACATAACTCATTACAAATACAACAGTGTAACTGATCTTAAACCTACTCAACTGTATAAACAATATATATTCTTGTCAACCATACTCTGTACTTCATTTGCTTGATAATGGTGTTAGAACCTACACCGAAACCATCGCTCCTAATTGTAATAAAGAAGTTGTACGTCCATATGTCTCATCCTTACTCATTACAAATTCAGTAACATATTCTATCATAAACTGCAGATGGAAAAACAACACCAGTAATAACTTTTTTTAGTGCTGCAATTAGGCCATTTACAAAAGGCCCAGTGAACATAGTTCACAGGAGCTAATGCATTGCACACACCCGACATGTCATATTGGCGGGGGATGTGAGTATTTCATGCTTGTTTTATTTATTACAGGCAGAAAAGGTCTTTGCAGTGTTCCTTCTTTGCGGCAGAGATCCCTCGACGTTCTTGTGCTGGCTGGGCTCTAAGGCCAATGTAAGCCGCAGGTACGCAAACGCTTGTTATGAAGGCCTGAACGTTTGGTATCAAAACTTCTTCCTTTAAAGAAAGGGCGGACAGCGGACGGACGGACGGCACCCATTTTTATATTCCCCTTCGTGGCGGGGGATAATACATGCACAATAAAAAACTCTGGTTCTGCACAAATATTTAGAACAAAGAACTTGTAAAACAAACAATTTATCAACAGTAGAGTAGTTTAGTCGGAACCCTGCTTGTGACTCGGACAGTAAATCATTTACTTCCATCAAAATGCAACAACAACTAAGAACATCCTGAATATATTAATTTACTTCCTTTTTGAAACTTGACATGAAAGTAACGTTTCAGTACCGGTATATAACATGGACACAATACACCATGGTGTAAAACAAAAATCAAATTCTCATCTCATATATTCAAACTCAAAGTTAGCTCTACAGATTAATAGAACCATGATTAAAATTATAATTGGACTGGTCAAGAATAGTTTTTATGTTATTTGGCCACAGTGAACAACCCATTGTATTGTTTAAATAAAAATGAACCAGAGGACCAAATACAAGTGTTCTGTTTTTATTACAAAACAGTTAAAATAAACCACTTTGTAGCTGTGTTGTCTTTTATTATTAGATTATCCAAATAATCAGTGAGTTATTGCCTTACACAGCTTGAGCAATTTTGCAGCTATTCGCGGCGACCAAATAATCAGAGTATTTCGTTAAACACATGTACTGTTACATGTACACTGTGATAAATCAAATTTAATTCTGAACTGAAGTAAACACAGTCAAGCCATGTTTAGCCAATATTTTACTTTTTCACTCTTTTCTAGACCACTTTAGACTCTTATTGACAATATTGTATCTTTATGGTGCAGCATGATGGCATTTACATGATTTTCCATCTGGTTTCATGCAGCAATCACAAAAACAGTCTTACTGGCAAAAGTTTCGTACTTGAGTCTCCATCAACCGATCTGTGATCCAAAAGAAAATAAGGTCAGATCTGTGAAATACCAATAGAAAATCGGAGCTTACTCAGCTAAACATACAAGTCCAAATCTCTAAAACAAATTATTACTCCAGTACTTTGCACTTAAATAAAGTGATCATCACAGAAAATCGGATACTGTTTAATCAGGATCATATCCAGCCAGTTCAGCATCACTGTGTCAAGCAACACTAAAATGACCCCTTACTCAGCTTACCATACAAGTCCATATCTGCAACAAAATATAAACCTTAAAATAATGAATTTTACAGAAACAATCAAGTTTTGTCATAAAAATAAAAAAGGTGCTACACCTGGAAATCTGTCAGAAAAAAATGGACAACTACACTCCGGTTTGAGTGAGTGAGTTGGGTGTAACGCCGATTTTAACAGTATTCCAGTTATATCACGGCGTGTCAGCTTAATGTGGGAGGAAAGCCCGAAATGATGCAGGTCTCAGACGTTTACCACTTCGGTGAAACCCACGAGCACGGGTATGGTGCTGACAAACCTAGAAACATAATCGGGGCGACCCGCGATTCGAACCCACAATCATAGGTTTCTGGCGTGCCAAAGGGTCGCAACTCTGCACAGCGAATCGCGGCGCCTTAGACGACTGGGCCACCCGTGCCCCCTACTCCGGTTTGAATAAAAGTGCAACTATAGACTCCGCTATATTGACTAAATTCCAAATATAAAATTTTGGTCCATTTTCATCTAGTTCTTGGTTAAAAACAAGACTTCAGATCCATAAAATATAGCTGTACTTCCTACATATAATTAAATTTGTTTTAGACCAGGCATGCCATATTCAACCAAGTATAAGTCTGTTAATAACCACAAATACATAAAAACATGTCCCCAAAGTACATTAACTTATCTAAATTATATTCTGAACGTCATGTTCATTACTTTAGGCATTTGACATTCTAATAATGTGAAAAATGTTTACAACTTGAGTCCAAGTACAACTTTTTTTTCCATGGAAACTGATCATGGGAGAAAGAAAAAGCTGATTTTTTTAAACAGCTAAAATCCACTATCCGAACCCCTGCAAAATATGCCAAGAAGATTAAAACCTATCCCTTTTGAAGAATCACTAAATTCATTCTCCACTAACAGGCGCCATAGCTATGACGAAGAAAAGCTACTTTGGTTCTTAAACCTTCTCATTTCAACCAATTTTGTGTACATCAAACTATTTATTGTTCATATGAGTGCCAAATCAATTTAACAAGTAAGATCGTTCACAGTAGAGCGTACACCGTATAAGGGTTGAATATCGGCAAAATGTGGGCAATTGCATCTATGTTCAACTTCAGTCCCTACAATCTAAGGACGGACAAGGGTAATACTATATGTCCAAGCAATATATGGCTGGATAAAAATTGTAACAGAACTGAGAAAAGATAATGGTGAATACTTACAGCGAACACACATAAAGGTATTATTCAGCATTGCAGGCTTTGGGGACTTTTCCCGACTGTTAGGATGACTACTACGGATACCTTTGAAACTGTGGTTTCGGAGAAAGTGTTTTCCGAACTTTGATACTAAGAGGTCGCCAACAAACCTTGAGGGGTCTGTGAACAAGACTCTATTTACTGCAGCCTGCAACAGTTTAAGAAAGTCATGAGTAACATTACTTATGCACGACATAATTATCTGTGGGACAAAATAATAGTCAACTATTTTCATTGATTGATTACCTTTCTGATCTCTTTTCAATGTGATATTAGCTCTTTCAGTAACAAGGTTAGATGTTCTTATTTTGTAGTGAAAATGAAGCTTTTTCCAAGATTTACTAGGAAAAAGAACATATTTTCTTTTCTGATGACCTTAATGTTTGAACTTTGCAATGCAATATTCTAAAACAACTGTTGGTCTCTGTATCAATATATAAACTATTGCAACATTAACTACAGAAAAGCAGTAGTTCATTACTTCCCAGTCCCTATCAAAAGAGGGCAGTCGAAAGGGTACTTCAGGAGATTCTGAAGGTGACCGTGAAACAGCAGGTCTTGGAGAGGTTGGAGACGAAGATGATGAAGAAGCAACACTGGGGGGCCTAGAAGCAGCATATGTAGCAAACGGCATTCTGATGGGCGAGTCAACCTTCTTTTCTTACAGCAGTTCTTTGAGCTTGCGCACAATTTATGGAGCAACTGAAGTAACAAGAAGAAAGATTCATCAGGTGAGTTTACATTTCTGTAATTTTGTCATACAGGTATTATACAGGTATTATATTTGTTGCAATACAAAAAAAATCCAGGCATTTTCCAAAGCCATCGTTTAATTTTAAAGGATCTCTTTGCATGTCATTCAATGAAAAACAATTCATAAACCAACAACGCGACATAGTCAGCCATATCCCCGCAACCGCTCATTGTCAAGGGTCAGATAATTATTATCCTGAAACATACAATTTTCGGAACAGTCTTGGCATATTTTACTGACAAAGATGTACAAACACCAGTTAGAATACCATCCATAATAACTGTTAAACATTGCTGTAGGGGCAAAACTATGTCAAATAATTGGGAAATCATGCTCTGGAATGAATTCATCACTGTATTTTAATTTTTGTAGATTTTTGCCTCCAAAAACAAAAATATACTTTTCTGATCTGCTTAATTGTTCTGCATGATACATCTTCATGGTATAGTATGTGTATCAAATCTGAAGTTATGCTCCGGACAGGACATATAACAGTTTTCTTTCATTTTATTTTTTTTAGCCAAAAGTAGATTTTCAGTTTGCACAATTGTGATGCATGACACATCTTCTAGGCAAGGTACTTCTGCATACCAAATTTGAGGTAGATGTAACCAGACAGGACCTGATACTATTTCACATTTTATTACTCCATTGACAGTAAAATTAATACAAGGAACACTCATGTTTTATTTTTCTGATGTTTTTCACATTCATAGAACAACTTCACTGCATCATTATAAGCACTGATACTGCCAATTGCTTTACGTTAACTAGCAAAAGCATTTTACTCATCCTTTGTTTCCCGATATTGGTTACACCAACTTCTGTAAAATGCACACATCTGAATTGCAGATTTACAAAGTCTGAACTGATCAACCCCGTGCTAACTGTGTACCAGTAAGGATAAATGTTTCTAATGTAATATAAAACCAGGTTTTTCCGAAATCTCAAGTGTTAGATCGAAATTTACTGCAATATTTTATAGCCATTAGTTAACATTATGTTGTCTTGATTTGAAATGACAACGAAAAATTCCCATTATCTGACCATCTATATTGATATAAGCATCAAAATTGGCAATACTTTGTTCTTGTCCGTTTCATTCCGATTAATGTGAGGACAATACTGTCCATTTACAACATGTGCAACCAGACAATAATATCTCATCGTAGATGAAATCAAATATATGTTGGTATGGTCTACTGTGGACAGAATTTAAATACACCGTTTATATGATGATCAAATGCTATAAAGCATCTTTTAGCAAACTGTCATAGTATGGACATTGTAAACAAAAATGATATTCAGATTCCACGTCAGATCTTACACAAAATGGACAAAGTCTCTTAGCTCTAGGTATATTGTACTTCCGTCTATTTTCAATTAGCAAAGTATGACCAGAACATCTAAATTAACTCAAAGCAATACGATAGGCACTTACTGGAATACAATCTAGATAATTTTCAAATACATTATATTACAAGAATAAAAAGAAAGTTTTGAGTAAATTCTTAAACTGCTAGACCATTGTTGGTTATCTATATCAATACATCTTGTTTTAAAGTTATCAATAAAACCAATATGATTTACTCCTTGACTATTCCAAACAAGGCCAAAACCATATGAAAAAAGAAGTTGTTTTACTTTTAGTGCCCAGCAATTTATTCCTTTTTCTGCCAGACTGTATAGATATGAATAAGCATGGCTAAGGATTATCTTAGTTTTTTTGAGAAACAAGTCGGAGCCAATATTTGACAATACGAACATGTTGATTGACTTTAAGTGAATAACGTCCAAGCTCACTACGAGCAACTATATTGGGGACAAATCTCCCATATTGTAAAATATTCTTACAGAAGCTATCATGTACATTGATGACATCCTGAGACGGGTGAAAGCCCCATATCTCTGAGTGAGTGAGTGAGTGAATATGGTTTTACGCCGCTTTTAGCAATATTCCAGCAATATCACGGCGGGGGACACCAGAAATGGACTTCACACATTGTACCCATGTCGGGAACCATATCTCTGAGCAGTAGAGAAGAACAGGTAGTATTTTGACATCAAATATCTGTAAAAGTACATTATAAGGATTGGTAGGTTGGTTGGTTGGTTTGTTGTTTAACGCCGCACTCGGCAATATTCCAGCTATATGACGGCGGTCTGTAAATAATCGAGTCTGGACCAGACAATCCAGTGATTGATATCATGAGCATCGATCCAAGCAATTGGGATCGATGACATGCATCAACCAAGTCAGCAAGCCTGACCACCTGATCCCGTTAGTCGCCTTTTACGACAAGCGAAGTCGCCTTTTACGGCAAGCATGGGTTGCTGAAGACCTATACTG